ACATGACACTTTAATAAAGCTTAAGAGTTATTTTCCCTGTGTTTGAACTTGTATTGCTGTAATCAAATCAGTTTTTCTGAACACATCTAACTGTTCTGTTTGCAACAATGAGTTATTCCTTAATTCCCTAACATTATCATTATCAACATATTCAGCTAAGAAAAAAATAGACAACTGTACAACTGAGAAGAAATATTGACCTCTCTCAAAGTAATGAATGTATCTCTTTAAGTTGTGTCTTTACGAGTAAAATCCAGTATAGGACAAGGTTTGAAATCATCTTCTCAAATCCAAGAACGCCACGAACAATGACCCTTAAACCGGTGCTGATGATGGACTAAATGTCCCTTAATTCCACCTTTTACCCATGTGTGCACATCTGTGTGTCTTCAGGTGCGACCTCTACACACTCATCTAGAACGTGTTGTAATATAAGACCTGCCTTTCATTCCAAGTCACCTCAGTGTTTACACTTCAGCCCACACAAGGCTACACACTTTTACAGAGATTTTGATAATTCATATTTTATAAGACACCAAATCTTGTGCAAGATAAATAAAAAGAACCAGAATAAGAAGTCTGACGGGGGTTCAACAGCAGGGGAGGGGGGGGGATTTAGTATTTTTATTTGATCTCTCTGAAATAATCCTCTTTACATTTCTGCACACAAGATGACCTGCACAAGCAAAGTTGTCGTTATTCCACTACTGATATGTCCTCGTGAAAAACCAGAGCTGACTGTGTTGTGGCTCTCACCCGAGCACCTTTAGATTCTTGAAATGTTCATTTCTTTGGACAGACACATAATTGCCAGAAAGGAAACAGCAGTATGTGGGATGTCTGTGGAGAAGAAAGGGCACGGAGAACAGAGAGCAGATTATAAAAAGGGTAAAGGAGGGGAAAAGAATGACAAAAGAGAGAAAGGGAGGAGAAGACTTCTTTGCCCTTTGGTGTGAAGCGAGGGCCGATCGATAGCGGTGTAATGAGCCTGGTATTAGCCGGGGTGCAGAGGGACCGGAGCAGGGCAGAGGGAGGGCAGGGGGGGAGGGAGGGGAGCCAGGATCTGATTCCCAACAGCAAACAACACCATTGCTGCAGACATCAGAACTCACACCTGAGTACACCTATTAAAGCCGGATGACCCTGTGCTCGGCTAATTACGACTCCACCGTCATACAAACTTCTCTCTCACACACATGCTCTCTCACACATGTATCTCGCCGGGTTTGGTGCCCGTCACAGAGCTGTTCCATCTCTGCCAAGCTGCTTCTAAAGCCCAAAGAGGGCTAACAGAAAAAAACCGAGCCTAATCCCGACTAAGAAAAGGGCCGCACTTAACATCACTTCTCCTTTTTGGTACAGATTACCCAACAATGGCTTCTGCCACTCACTTAAATCCACTACACAGAGGCAATTTGATTAGAAACATAGAGATGCAGGGATTGTCTTTGATTGGTTGAAAGAGAGAGAGAGAGAAGGGGGACCAGCGGGGAGAAGAAGGGGATAACCATCAGGTACACTCAAAGCCAATCTGTTGCCTCGTCAATAGGCTCATTCTGCTGGAGTGGTGGGCTCGCTATCCCCCAGTCTCAGCCGGAGACCAGCCATCCAGGCAGGCACAAGCCGGGGGGACGCACAGAGAGCGCCACGCCTGTGTCCTCTCAATGGAGGGATCAAAGCAGGGATATAAGAATGGGCCCCCACTCTTTGTGCTCTCGTGTCTCCCAAAACAAACGCATCCTCCTGTCCGCTGGAAGCTGCCCGGAGGAACAGATGGCGGAGGGGACTGCCACTGAGAGACACCTGCACTCTGCACAAGGAAATGTCACCACGACACATCTGCACCATTTTAAAAACTGAATATGATAACATGTAGTTATAGACTATATGATATACTGTGAAGTGAAAACGTTGCCGAGTATACAATGAAATTACAGAAAAAACAATAAAATAATAAACAAGTATTAGTTGGATGACAAAACCCTGATATAACTTATTCCTTTTAAATAGATTCCAGACTGTTCTGTCAACCGCACATGCACTGTCTAGCTTTCATAAATATGAACAAGGACACCAAATGCATTAATCTGCATTTTTTTCTCATACTGATATTCTGAACAATCTGTGCTGTTGTATTTGCTGTAAAGTGTCTCTACTGTAGGCTATTTTTATTATATGTACAGCACTTTGGCTCGACCAAAAATCGTTTATAAATGTGCTATATAAATAAAACTTGATTTGATTTAATCCACAGCTGAAACCTATCTCTTGTTTACTCCCTCTTGAGTGACATTTGCTAATAATGAAAGTGCCCAGCTGTTTAAGAAAGCAACTTGGCATTCTTTCAACTCGGTATTTGTGATGGATTTTATTTTCCGTATGAGGCAATGTAACACACAGATGAGGGAAATCAGAAAGTATTGAGGGACACACAGACGTTTTTTCTCACTGGCTTTTTAAATATAGATAATTGCCAGATTTATTATTTGAAGGGTCATTCCCCAAACAAACACATGTAGCTCTCTCTCCTTGGGGAATATGTTCATTTACAAAGTGTATGTGATGACGTTTTGAGATATTTGTGTTTAAGAATACTAAATCGTTTTCATTGGAACTACTTTCTACCAAACAAATAGTCGCAACAAATATTTATTATCCAGAGTATATATGCTGCGGTCCCTCTTTCACACGTTTTCTGTTTTAGTCATTTGGTTGAACTTACCCTTTAACATTTTTCTTTGGTATGCTCTTACTCGTGTTTTACTAATCCTCCGAACCCCCTTCGACCGAAAGCTCTAATGCCCTCATGTTTTCGCTGCTAAACTCATTTTAAAACCGAAAACGTTAAAAAGCAATCCCATCTAATTAGATATTTTTGTTTAGAGCAAAACAATCAAAATTGTTCATTTTTTATTATTAACATTATTTCCTCGTGCTGTGAAGAGTCACAATCTCATTCCCTGCCAGTGAGTAGAGATTTTCACGAGCCCATCAGAAGCAGGGCCTCCAGTAGATATAACCCGTGCTATGGTAATCACATGCTAATCACAGTTAACACCAGCGCAGGGTCCTATACTCTAGATTAATGCATCCGTCGCATATTCACGTTCCTATTAGCATAAATCAGGTCCACCCTGCCTTTGTAATTAGTGTTTTCATGTGAATGATAATAAGATATGGTGATTAGGTCAGGGTACTAGAATGGAAATGACTTGTCAGCTTAGTCGGCCTCAAACTGTTCAGCACATTGGTTGGACTATCAATATACGCTTCCTCCAGAAACAATTAATGATGTTCAAAGATAATTGAAGTTTGATAGTGGAAAGTAAAAGTAGACTATTAATCACATTTCTGCAAGACACTTGATGCATTAGCAGGATTCTTATGGCACAGTTTTGCTTTAATAAAAACATGTATGTTAAATCATGCCATCAGTTTTATCCTTCAAACGGCATTATGTATAAGACTGTAGTAAGGCTGCATGCTTTATAACTTTGAAGATACATTCATAAAAACACTGACATTTAAACTACGCTTTAGCATGAAAACTGATTTATTTGTTAGATAGATACTTTATTGATCCCAATTTGTTTTCTGGAAAACTAGATCACACTGCATCCCATAAGTTTTCTCCCCATAAGCACGGGAAGGGTATTTGGACGTTCATCCTTCTTCTCCATCAAATGCATGAAAACTCAAAAAGGACCAGCTCTGGCAAAGCTTTCAATCTTGCCTGTCTGCAGCCAAAGTGACACCTTAGCAGTGTGGGAAAAAACACAGCATGTATGAGCATATGAGTGTGCTTGGTAACATGTGAACACAAGGTCGCAACACTGAGCCTGCAGATGAATATAAGGCAGAGGGAAATACGTGCAGGTGGGGTGCACACCTGTGTACTTTGAAGAAATGCACCACATTAGCAGGACATGCAGCAGTGATTGGTCTGAGGTGGGGTTCAGACTTTGTGGGTTTTGTCTCCCTCGGGACCCCCCGTCCACCCCTGACATGGAGCATTCCTCGCGGACTGGTGACCCCACATGACGGACGGTATCCTCCATGCCTATAACCCACTGATGAGACCTGCTGCAGCCCCGAGAGACGCGAAGGCAGAGGTTGTGATCAGGAATGTGAAAAAATATATAAGAAAACAGAACACAAAAAAGTGCAAGAAACATAACAAACCTTGAAAATAGGTTTTTAGTGAATCACAACAGCCGTATAATGCGGGAAAAATCCTGAAGCTCTTGATTTCATGCCATGGTCTTGCATCATTGTTGTTGAGTGTGTGCATGTGTTTGTTGCAAGAGTTCTTTCTCATTTAACCAGACACCACTGTTTCCATGGTAATTTACGAGGCCTGACCAGTGGATTTAAACGCCCACCTCCAAAACCATCTTCTTCACGGGTATCATAACCCCTCTTTGGTAGCACCTCAGAGCTTTTTCCAAAAAAACTGTCTAAAGTGTGAAAACTGATAGTCATGACGAAACTTTTGGTTTTTCAAGTTAGGGTTAAGTTTAGGATGAAGGTGAAAGTGAGGTCATTTTTGTGTTTTGTTTCTTGTATCATGAAAAGTATGTTCTCGACCTGCTTTTCATGAAATGTTTCCTAAGAGGACATCTGTTATGGTTTGTCAGTATATTTATCAAATGTTCTGTGAAAAGTCTGGCAGAATAGCTGAAAAGCCAGAAAGTCAAAAGGTACTACTAAATATAAATTAGCCACTTCTCACAGGCATGGTTTTCTACTAAACATGTGGAGGCCTAGAAATACAGAGCAGTAAACCCTCCTTATCTCCAGTCACATTTGTAAGAGGACTCTGCATCACATTGTAGCTTTGTCAGGGCAGAGGAAAAGCTGAATGAGAGATTCTCAAACAGGAGCAGTAATTTGCAGAGTGTGTTTCTAAGTTATTCCAGCTCCCCGCAGCTCAGCAGTGGCTGACCCCTCTCCCCGTCTGTCTGCTAAGAGGCCTACAGGGAGGAATCAGCCCAAATTACCTTTATTGATCCAGAGAGACAGGTGAATACCAAGCAGGTCTCTCTTCTCTTCACTCTTCTTATGTCTCATCACTCCATCCCCCTCCCCGCCTGCGAGGAGAGAGAATATAAAAAAGAAACAGCGAGCGTTTATGTGAGAGGAACTATTCTAACCACCGCCACACGTAACTGTATCAGCCGTTGCAATGATTTACTGTTCGCATTCAGGTTGCTGTGATTAAACCTGCCTTCTCGTTGCTCGTCTTTCATCAGAGTGAACGGGGATGGCGAGCGGCTGTTTTTCTGCCTCCACTCCAACGTTGTCCTTTCGCCCCAGCATACAAATCACTGTGGCTGTGGAAAAGATACTCCATTAGGTCCAACTCTGAGTTAAATCAATGCGTGACTTATCAAATGAAATAGGGGATTATGAGGTAATCACCTGGCAAACGTTGCTGAAATTGTAATTATCTCCACTGCACACATCTCGGAGAGAGGAGACCAAACTAACTATTTAAGTGGAGGATGAGATAACAAGGTGTAGAAAAGCACAACAGCTATATCTCTTAGACAGCGGCGTGAGGCAGAATGTTTATGTGCTGAGAGGAACCCGAGCCACTCTGTGGTTTCTCTCGCTCGAAAGAGAAATTAGTAAGAAGGCTTTCGCTGCAATGACAGATTAATGCTTTCTGTCCTTTCGTCGCATTAACACAAGACTGCCGCTTTCTTGGTGCTGCTTAATCACACCGCTGTTTATGTGCAATACATTCTCAGCACGCATGACTGACATGAGCTACGTTACAACAGTGCTATGATCACATTTCCTGCATGCTTTAACAACAATAATAAATGAAACTGAGACAAGAAACATTGTTTGTCATGTATACTGTAATAACTATAATACTATAAATATTAACATAAATAAATATGTTTTAGGAATAATATAATTTAGCTTTTTGAAATGTTTCTTCAAAAAAAATACAGAATACAATCATAATTTGTTTTTCTTTTTTTATTACTTTATTTATCTTTATTCTATTTGTATTTTTAAATTGTGGAGCCAAAAGTAATTTATATTTCATTCAAATCCAGTATTTCTATGGAGATATTTAAAACCTGATAAAGGACCAACTTGTTTAAACACCATTTTAAAGTGTTTTAGATTGCATTTTCTACTACACTTAGTGGTGGCGAAGTCAATAGGGGCTTGGCTTGGCAACTGGGTCACCAGTTCAAGTCCCGGCAAGACCAAGTGCTACCGAGGCAAGGCACCGTTCCCTACACTGCTCCCCGGGCGCCGTTCAAAATGGCAGCACACTGCTCCTAACACTAGCATGGGTCAAATGCAGAGAAACAATTTCCCCACGAGGGATTAATAAAAGTCCATCACTCACTTCGATGCGGAGGAAATTCTTGTAAACAACCTTTTGTAACAGTGAGTTATTACCCATTTTGAACAAAAATAAAAATAAATGTATGTATTTTAATGTTTGATATTCTGTGTGTGTATTTTCTTAAAGAGTCACATCCAAAATCCTCTCATCTTTCATATATGTCGAGTTTAAATTGTATACATCCTATAATTGGAAACCACTGGTTGGTGTACAGGAGCAACACCGCCCCCAGGTGGAGGTACTGCAGAGTTACAACACTGAGCCCAACGGCAGGAAATACTCTCACTTTTGGATAACTTGCCCCATCTGTTGGTCAGATGCACTCAGTGTACTGTGGAGCTATAAATCAGAAGTTAGTGTTTAATTGTATAACACAGTTAGGGGAATTAAGCTCTCAGGGAGCAAACACTGACATATTATTTAAACAGTTTTTAAAACATTAACATTTTAAAAAATAAAGAGAAATATTTACAAGAAATATCAATATACAAAGTACAGTAAAAGTACCCTGAAATACAAAATACTGCAAAAGTTAAACATGTGCAGTACAGTATTTCAGAATTTAAAGATAGGTATATGTGCAGTTTATCAATTGTTTTGGTTGTCAGGCAATAACAGTTGAAATGGGCCCTGACAACAATCTGCAGTTCTTCAGTATTAAGAAGAAGAGAGACACTTTAGTTGTGCCACCTAATTACCAGCAGTACACAAACACCACACAACAGGGTGTAAGAGTCTGACACCAACTAAAGCACTGGCTTACAAAGTTACTGCTTTGATGGACACTGATGCCTTTTCAAAAATGCGTCACCCACCAAAGTCGATTTTAAACATCTTTAGAGTTGGAGCAGTACTCACTGTTGAATCAGTATCCATTAGTGCATGGAAACTCCATTATTGTTGTCACATTGTTTTGGAATTCACACACAGCATCACCAAACATGTCTACTTGGAAAGCCGCGCATAATTGTTTCTTCTTTTAATGGCGGTTTGCAAACCAACGTGCAGGTGCATTACTGCCACCTTATGGACTGCACTGGAGCTGTAGATTAGCAGGAACATTCATAAATATAACTAACATACAAAACTTTCCATGATGTTTTCAAGCTGATCCCACAGTGTAAAATGTGGGTTAAAGCCATTGTTCCTGTTAACAATTCCCCTTTCCTTCATCATATACTTGCTGCATTTGTAAGTTCATGTTTGACCGTTTCTGGTTTATTTTAGCACAGTAGGGTGCTTGGGTACTTTTGTCCTTATCTCTTTCTGCCTGCACAAACTTGTACACCCCATAGTACCCCCTCTTGGATAACAGCTTGACTATCTGTATTCTGACCTGGTGCAACAATGAGGCAACAAACAACATGTCCAGAGAGAGAAGGTGTGACTGTGAGAAGCATGCCACCGGCTCCACTGGGTCACACTTCGTCACCTCATCATGGTGTGTGTGATCACACCAGAACAGTTCAAAAGGGCAGGACAGCTATCTAAATTAGTTGTAGTTAGTAAATCACACAAAGTAACTTCTTCAGTGACAGTATGTTTGCATGATCACAAATATTCAATTTTAAGCAACACCCTATAATGATTTATTTTATTACAATTGCCTAAAAAATATAACTTTAAAAGGTTAATTATGATCTAGGGGGAAGTTTTAAGTAAACACACTGGAACATGGGAATAGTGATTTCCATCTCTTTATATTTTTGTTTTTAAAGGGACTTATGAATTATAACTGCAGGCTGGTTTGTTCAGGGGCAAAGAGTGTGCTTGGCAGAAGTGAAACATGTGACCTCAGGGGTCAAACATGGGACTGAACAGAGTTGACCGCTTAGGTGTGTAATCCTCACGCCTAACTTCGCACCAGGTCCTGGGAAAAGGCAGCGTGCGTCTCAAAAGTTGAAACTGTGCAAAGTTCACAGAAGTTCACAAAGTTCAGTAAGTATAAGAAAGCATGCAACAATATACATTTTTAATTCATCATATTTTGCATGTACATTTTATTGTAAACACTTCAGTCATTCAAAAAGGACGTTCTATGACTGACACTGCCCAGCTATTGGGGGACCCATTTTTGGGGCTACATTTATTTGTATCAATTTCCCACTGTTACCAATATAACCTGTATTGGGAAAGCTACTTTAAAATTATAATATCTAACTATTGTAAGAGGTTGGGCCACAGCAAAGTTATCCAGGGGGTAGGAATCGAAATGTTTAACTAAAGTTGCAATGAAAAAGTAGCTTGAAATACTTTGTAAAACAAAATGATAAAACACATGTAACACAATCTCATACAAATAAGTCACATGCTACTTAATTGAGTTTATTTCAAAAGGTTCCAACTTCACTTTATCTGTCTATAAGATCTAACATGTACAATCTTAATAACTAAAGCAGTTTCCATACGCTTTGTTAGACAGTATGAACAGCTTGAACACTGGTTTGCTCACACAGAGCGGAGCATGACTCCTGACATTTCCTGTGTTTGATTTTTATATTTTCTGTTGTAATGTATTGTCTTCTGTTTGCTATCGTAGTAAAGTGTTGTTTATTGCATGTACAGCACTTTGGCTACACCAAAAATCGTTTCCCAAAGAGGGAAGGGATGAATAACAGTATAGTATACTATAGAGTAGCAATGGTTAAAAAAAAGTTTGTAGTTTACACAAAGAAATTGCTAAAAGTATTTTCAGTACTATCCAAGCAAATATGAACGTCTTTAACCTACAGTAAAATTGAGTCAGTTTAACACTGCCAATTACACATGGTAATGTATATATATGTAGATAAAGCCACTAAGAAATGTCTGTGTCAGGTGACCTACAGTTTGTGCAGTAAAGTTTAGAAGTTCATCAGACCAGGCTAGGTTAAGTCTGGAGGTGAGCAAACTTCACACCCATGTAAGTGACACTAAAACCACTAGCTCTGACACCCAGGCCTGGGAAAGTCTCGACCGTGCAGGCCAGGGTTGAAGAGGTTATCAGAACATCATCTCCAACTCCTAATGTCAGGTCTGCGTATGAATATTCAATTAAAATGTGAGGCTCAGTAACCTTTAAATGCCCAGGAAAGCAGTCAGTAAAACCTTTTCTGTTGCGTTTACACCTCTAAAGATCCTCTCTACAGCCATGTTACTGATTGTTGTATCAATGCAGGTGTGAAAAGTCAAATGTGAATGGAAATCAGTGTGTTAATTATAATAAATGTCTTCCTTGTAATTAGTACACAGTCTGTCTAATGCAGGTTCGTGGTTCAGTGGCAGTGCAGCACGCCTGGAGCAGTCAGGGGTCACCATGTTTCACTTAGATTAGGTGCGTAGTCTTTGCACCCTGCACAACACCTACAGATGATCCCAAGGGTTCCCACGGAAAGCCTGAGAGGTTGCACCGGGGTCAGTTAAAGAGTTCATGTCAGTAAGTCAGAACATTTAAAATATCTTAAACAATTACTCCCCTGATAACACATATTTCACTGAGCACATACAACATATACAATGAAAAGTCTTGTAATTGTATGGATGCAAGCAATAGTTTTAAGATTCTCAAAACTGTGCATTTATAACTACATCATGTTTGAACAATATTTCATATGCAAAAACTAGAATTTGTATATGAGGTCATCATGATCACATTCAATATTCAATGTAGCAGAAATCACTGTTAAGCTGCAGCCGCTGTAACTCTGACACATAAAATAAGTTTAAAACTGCATTCATATTGCAGCATGGCATTCAAATATTGTTATGGTTGATTTAGTAACCTGGCCCCGCATTTGTCATTTGGTTTGTTGTCATGTAACTGAATGCAAGAGTGTTCTCTCTTTTTCTTCTGTTTTTGTTATCTCATAAAACTACAGGACAGTATCTGGAATGCTTGAAGAAGTCCGGGGCTTCCAAATTCGTTTTAATAACATTTGTGCTCTTTACCTAAATAGTCAAAAAAACTATTATAGACACAGATGTAACTTGTGCTTAGCTGAATTTCCAGATAATATAAAAATGTGTTATGCATCTAATGATGATTTGGAGGGGGTGGTGTAGCCTACACACAATGCACAGAGCCAGTGGTGATCCTAGAGTCGGTGGGGGCCCTATATGCCAACATTCACTGGGTGCCCCTCGAACCAGCATTTCATCACCACCTACAGCCTGTTCGCAAGGGGCGCCCCTGCACAGAGCAGGAGGAACAAGAGCTCAGTAAAAACCCTACACTTTTTTCCCCCAAATCAAATCAAGTTTTATTTATATAGCACATTTATAAACGATTTTTGGTCGAGCCAAAGTGCTGTACCCCAGGTAACCATAATGTGCTCATCCAGCCTGCATTCTTGTTTCGTCTGATAATAGACTGGTTTTGTTTTGACCACATTTGAGTTGAGACCTCCTGCACATCAACACAACCATCCGCACACTCAGATCTTCTGCTTCCCTCAGCCTCACTGCACCCCCCTTCCGTTTAACCACCATGGGGTCTAGAGCCTTCAGCCGCTCTGCACCCCGCCTCTGGAACTCCCTCCCACCTGACATCCGCAACACTGACTCTCTCCCCATTTTCAAATCACGCCTCAAAACATATCTCTTCACACTCGCATATCCACCCTGATCATTATCCATCACACATCCTCTGTTTTTATTTATTTGGTTATTTGATTGATTTATATACTGCATTGTCTTGTTTATGTCTCTTATGCTGGTGTTATGTGTTGTGTATCTTGTTTTGTATGTGTTTGTACGGCGACCTTGAGAGCCTTGAAAGGCGCCTATATAAAATAAATGAATTATTATTATATTCAGTCAGTGTGTTGTTGAACAATTCATAAATTGAAGTTAATTTATCTTCCTTAATTTCTATTGCAAGTGGAGGAAAACTGTCATAAAACGTTTGCTGGCAAACCCAACCCTATGTAGTCTGTCCCAATGTATAGAGAATATTGATATGTGTTCTGTCTCTGCCTCTGCCAGTGATCATTGTCTAAGTTCGTGGTTTCATTGGGGTCAACCGTTTCCATTTGACTATCTCACCGGGGTCACCGCAGATCGTTATGCTCCCCTGACCCGGGTGACACCTTCCACATGTCACGCAGTTTCCGCACTTCAGGCGACATTGCGCAGGAAATGGCACCTTACACTTATCTATGGGAAAAGAGTTTTTCAGCCACCGATGTTTCACGTAAACGGAATAGAAAAACTTTGCTCTGCTTCAACTTTTATTAAAAGAGGTGACTTAGCCCATACTACGTGTCTGTAAGCTCCAATACATAATTAATTAATTAATTTTGTGAGATGCTTCGAGTATAAAGCAGAAAAGTACCTGATAGACTTCACGTTATGCAGAGACAAAGTAATCCTGAAGTCTGTTGACTATACTTAAAAATGGTATTTAATTATTTTATAAATAGTATATTAATTTGCTTAAACACTTAATTTACTATTTATTTCTGTAATAACTGATTTGATTTCGAGTGTCACTGGCAGACAAAAACCCTGTTTCATATTAATAATAGAGCCTGAGACAACGACATTCGTTTTGCATTTTATTGCAAATCTCAGCAAAGTACAAAAGAGGTAGACATGTCAAAAGAATAACTTAACGATTCACATTCTTGTTTGGTGAAGAAGTAAAAAAGGCATATTTACATATATTTACAGCAATAAGTTATTATTAAATATATTATCACATTATGCAGCAATTTGCTGTTGAAGGCTTGAGAGAGCCATATTTAGTTGAGCTCCTTCTCCATCTCCTCTTCATCATCATCATCATCATCATCATCATCATCATCATCATCATCATCATCATCATCATCATCATCATCGCTGTCTTCATCGCTGCTGGAGTCTGCGTAAAGGCAGATGGTAGCTTGGACAGGATAGTTGCGCAGGAGCATTTCTGCATCCTGGTACAGATAATCGAAACATCTTGATTTTGGCCAGTACAACCTTTAAAAAGAGAAAAGACTATAAAACAAATGTACCAAAAAAACCTGCATAAGAAAAAGATCATTGAATGAACCAAACTGTACTTACTTCACTGGGTGAACGACCTGAGAAGCTTTGGGGTCTTGTGCAGCAGAAATGTCTCCTTGAATAGAATGAGCCTGGAAGTTAAAACAAAAATAACCTTGTTAAGTTATTTATCCATCGAACAGCACACGTTTAAATACATTTACAAATAACTTAAAAAGTCAGATCATGTCGTCTACACTCACCATGTGTGCGGTAGTGTTGTTCTCTGCAGTCCATGGTCTCCACATATGACCGGACTGCTGAGTCCCATTGTTTCCATGAGAAAAAACTGAAGGTAATCCAACGTTGTTATTGATAGCCTCCATGGTTTCTTGTGGTGGTTAGTCCTGCTTGGAGTCTTGAGAGGAAGTGTGGCTGACGGCAGGAACCTCCTATTTATCAGGGCCCGGCAGCCAGGGCCAAATTGCGCTTTGACGCGTCCCCAAGTGTCTCCATGCGCCATGGTGTTCAGGTGCGAAGTCACACTCAGGCAAACTCCAGCCATATGGCCACTTTGTTTCTTAAGAATGACCTTATAATCAAGATAAGCTAATCTATCCAGAAAAATGTGTTTTGGAAAATAAACAATATAACAAAAATATATCAGCAGTAACAGACGTGCACAACACAGACACGTCAACATAAAGTGCATGTACATTATTATGTGCAACACAGCCCCTCATTTTACACCCTCCTTAGTTTTCTTGAGTTAAACCAAAAAGATTGTTTAGGTCAGGAGATCTATATAGAGGGGTGAAACAGGTATTTTACATATTAAGGCATCTTCTCCTTGAAACCCCAGAGAGTATTTCTAATGGGATCAGTTCGTTTTCTGATACATGATCTGGAAGGGGTTTGCCATACATTTCCATTTGTATGTAAAATAAAAAGCATCTCTCGCAAGAAATTGGCCTATTTTAAACCCTTTTCCATGATTAACTGTATTTTATTAGGTATTAGGCCAGTATTTACTCAACCTGCTGAGCGTGAGGACAATAGCTATAGTATGTAAATGCTGTTTGTGTTTCAATTAAAAATCCAATTATACTTCAGTTTGGTTAGGGAGATTCCTGTTGATTATAAAAACTTTCCTCAAACTCTTCACCCCTTGGTATCTCCGTATGTGTAGCCATTTGTGTGTGAGGTGTGAAGAAACACGTGCCCATACTGTCATGGCGTGCTGAGTTGGATGATCGAAGAAGGCTCGTGCGCAGTTTGAGGGGGTTGACACGCGTCAACCTTTTGTATTTACAACAGCAGGGCGCGAGCTAATAGCTGCACTTAAGACGATGGATGCCTGGAATGAATCACACACTCCCATATGGAAAACCTCTTAATCCTCTGCCATTTCTATCGGAGCTCCGCTTTATTCTGTAATGTATGAAGAAGACCTTCTTAAGTCGATTAAATAATTATATCCCTTAATAAAAACTGAAGTGTTTTCCTGCCAGTTCACCAGTGGGGGGCAGTGTTGGTCTGCATGCTGGAATTAAATGATACAGAAAACTGTAATAGTTTTCAGATTGTTTGTTTGATGACTAACCAGTGGGAATGGTATTCAGATCAGATTACATATCAAGATTTACTTAAGACCTTCAAAACCCACACAATTAAAATACCCTGTAATAGAAAAAAAAAGCCATTCATAATTCCACTTAAACAAGAAAAAAACAAAACATTTCATTATATTTGAAGTACCAAAAGTGGAATTAATCATATTCATTGATCTACTATGTAGTAATAATCAGAATCAGTGAATTAAATAAAGCTATTAAATAATGTAATTGAGTTAAAAAGTGAATTTTACAGAAACCAAAGTAGAAAGTAGAATAGAAATTCTCAGTTAAAGTACCTTATATAAAGATATTTAGATAAATTCCACCACTGAACGTTGAGTATTTTAATCTACAATAAGGCATCACATTTTATGAAACTTATTCGACTCTCCATCCTGTTGAAAGGTATGAGAGTTATGAAAAAAACTGCAAAGTAATTTAAGTTGTCCAAAAAATTTACTAGATTACAGAAAACATTTTTCTTCTTCTGTGATGTAATAGTTTCATAAAATGGAAATACTCAAATCAAGCAGAAGTAACTGGAATCTAAGTACAGTACTTGAGTACATTTTTTTTTATTTCATTACATTCAAAAGGGAAATATTTACCCGATAATGCGATAGCGGCAGCCTAAATCAGTCTAATAAATACCTTTATTCATCCCACAGAAGGGAAATGTACACGTTACAGCGAGTAAGGAGACAAAGAAGTATGCATACAAATATTAAAGATGAAAGTAGAAATTACACCATTTACAAAATACACATCCAATACTAGTAACAGTTTTGTACGGAAGAGGATTAGGGCCACATTAATAAAAATTTTGGGAGGATTTGACAAAATTAAAAAATTTCTTTGGGAGAAAAAAGTCAGAATTCTGACTTTAATCTCAGAATTCTGACTTTAATCTAAAAAAAATGTTCTAATCCTCACAAAAAAATCATTCATATGGCCCTAATCCTCTTCCGTAGTTTTGAAATAGTGAACATATTTAAGGTGGAAAATGTTTAGGAGCAACTGTGATTGCGTGCATGTGTGCGTGTGCGTGTGCGTGTGCGTGCGTGCGTGTGTGTGTGTAGTTATGACGATGAAAATCTTAGGTCATAGGCTCCTCCAACAGTGCAACACAATAAAACTGAAAAAATAGTGCAAGTAAATACAAAAAGAAAAATAGTATATAAGTGAAATAATGAAATAGTGCAATAAGAGTCTATATACATGTTACATCTGGTGTCATTCACTGAGTTAATTTGCCCACTGGCTCCACACTGGACAACTCTCTCCAGGGATCAGGCAGTCAGAGCTGCTCTCCCTCTCTCTTCTCCCTCTCTCTTCTCCCTCCCTCTCTCTTCTCCCTCTCTCTCTCTTCTCCCTCTCTCTTCTCCCTCTCTCTTCTCCCTCTCTCCGCTAATTGGACACGCCATGTTCTGCTGCTGGCCTCTTTTGTGTTTTCCTGTTATTCACTATTGTGCTACCATAATGGCAAACATATATAGAGAAGCATTAAGTGCTTATAGCTTTTCAAACATATATGGGCAAACCTTCCCTTTACCTTCCAAATGGATTGAGTAAATACAATACTTAATTAGGTCAGCTTATTGAGAGTGTCCTCTTTTCAGCACTGACTGTACCATAAAGAGATCATCAAAACTATCCCTGCAAAGAGCATGGAAAGCACAGCACACTACCTCACAGGCACATTCAAAAATGAAAAAAATATTCAGGAAACTTATCATGGAGTGCGCTACAGGAAACCTTTGTTGTCTCCATTACAATAAATTAATAACAAAGGATGTAATGGAGATAAAGAGACTCTGGTACGTTGCTAGCAGGGTTTTGAGATTGTTATAAAAAAAAGCTGCTGCGCAACATCAACAGTTCCCATTTGCTCTTTAACAAAACCCCTTTTTATAGCTCATATAACCTCCATCTCTTTCCTCCACTTTTGTCTCACTTTCACTTCAATACTTGTCTCCAGGGCCGTTTCTTCCTATATGCGGACTATGCGGGGGCATAGGGCCACCGCGGCCGGCCACTAGGGGGCCCCCAAGCTGAAAGTATTTTTGTTTTTGTTTTTTGTATTCATCCAAAAAACAAAAAAAGTTTAATTCATACACACAAAGATGAACAAAATTAGTAGAAGCGGGAGGGCTGAAGCATAGCTTGTGGAAATTAGCCCTCCCGTGCATCATCCTAATACAGCGGCATTATTGCGTCAAAAATGTATAGAAATGAAGGAGTACAAAAAAATAAAGAAAACAGGAGACAAAATTAAATAAAAGTTAGGGCAGGAAAACAATAAATGCATATATATATCCGAAAACTAGATATAGGGTCATTTTCTGCACATGTCAATAGCAGTTTCAACTATCTTTTTTTGGAAATTAAAATACTATGTATAAATATATACATAGGTACACATGCACTTGGCAAATGAATAATATGCATAATTGCATATAAACATTGTGAACACTTATTTTCAAGTGACTTTTTTACATTCATATGTTCACGCTGTGGTTTGGAACTGCTTTTGAATATTATTAGGCATCTTGTTATGGAAAATGTTGTGCATAACCAGTACTATTTTAAGCTGTACTATCTCAACACATTTTAATAGATTGAGTTTTTTTAAATATGGGAGTTGTGTGTTCATATTTACCAACACCACAGACTATTCGTAATACTTTTTTTTGGGATGTTATTATTTTTTGTAGATTTGTTGAGTACGTGTTTCCCCATATTTCGGAGCAGTATTGAAGGTAAGGGAGAAATAGACTGTTATAAAGAGTATATTTTCTTCAAGAATGTTCTTAGTATGATACAAAATACCTATTGTTTTTGACAATTTAGTCTGTACATAATTTATATAGTGCTTCCAATTGAGTTTTTCGTCAACAAGCAGTCCTAAAAATGTACATGCACCAACTTTTTCTATCTCTGTATTGCAAATCCGTATAATGCAGTCATTTCTACTCTCAGACTTTGTATTGAATAACATGTAATTTGTTTTGGCCACATTAAGGGATCATTTATTAACTGCAAACCAGTTACATAGTATTTTTAATTCTGCATTCACAATTTGAACAAGATCGCCAAGATTATGATGGGAGCAGAGAATTCAAAGTTCAGGTTCAGCCTCAATATATTTGGGGAGAATTAAAATGAGCCGTCTTTATTTGCTGACAGCCAAACCCCCTCCTGTGAGTGTTCGGTGAAGCATTATATGCTTACAAATCCAATGTAGGATATAAACACGACTAAACTGCAATGATAGCAAAGCTGTGGCTTGGGTTTTTGGGGTAATAAAGTCCAAATCATCGTTGGGCTGACAGCTGAGAAAATGCTGCATCTCTTGCATTTATTGACAGAGGAGCCTTATTGTTTACCTTTTTAATATCATTTTTTGTAATTTTCAATTGCTTGGTTTTCGTGAAATTAGCCTGTTTTCCTATTAAAGTGTAACAGATTGATGCATCTCCACAGATCATCTTAAAAGGTCCCATGTCATGCTTTTCCGGTTATTACTCGTCCCCTTGTGTGTTATGAAGGTTTTTATGCATGTAAACGGTCTGCAGAGTCAAAACCCTCAAAGTACACCTTGTAGCGAGTAAAACTCTAAAACAGAAAATACCTCCCCAAAACGCCCATTGATTCTTCCGGGTAACTCATGATGTCATGCGTTACCCGGAACCAAATGGACCAATCCGTGGAGCCGTTACGTTACGTCCGCGGAGCCGTTACGTTAAGCCCCCGCTGATTGGTCCAAATTGACCAATCCACGGACTTCCTCACACACACACTCAGTGCATGCAGCTCTGCTCATCTCTCCTCCCTGGCTGCAGGCTGATAACAGAC